GCCGAGGCCCGCCCCCGACCCGCCAGCCCACGTGCATCGATGGTTACCCCCATAGCCCCTACAACACCTGCACACTACATGTCGGTATACCAGGGTCCTCTCTGCCAAGTGGAGACAAAATGGTGTTTGGGGGCGAATGTAAGCGTACATCCTCCGATCTCGACAAGTGCAGGTGCATGAGGTCGTACAGCCGCTGAATAGCATTTGTCGGCACCACCATTGGATGCGGTTTCAATTCCTCCACGAAATCCAGCAACGCCCGCCCAGCGACAAGCAGGTCGTCACCATAGGGGATTGTAGATGCATATTGTGGGAGAGTGTGCATTACGTATTTCAGCACGATGAATGTTTCGTGCGCCTTTAGTTTCATATTGCCGCTTGGATGCGGTAGTGTTCCATTGTTCTCGAAACTACCAGGACCTCCTATCATCTTAAGTGTCAAGTCGCCAATCCGATCACCATGATCACTATTCCCTTCTGGAGTTTTAAACCATTTGGCCATGTTACCATATAGTTTCCGACACCCCCTCGACAATGCAACGTCTTTGGCCCCTGAAAGTTTCCATGGGTTCGACAATTAAATGCGGAACAGCGTGCCGCTCGTCCACCTCATCATCGGTCCGTAATGGGGGCTGTGTAGCGTGTCCACAGCTAGGTGTACAGATGGCGTAATACCGATGATCGGGTGGCAGATCGGGTTTCGAAGGGTAGCGGGCCCCACGTGCGAATTGTTTTGGAGCTCGTGCCTCCAAAATGTGACGCGCACAGGTAACTCTGCGGTTTCAAAACCTCCTACGTCGGGTAGAGAATCTGACGGTACCAAACAATATTTTTCTTGGGGCCTAAATTTTGGAGGCGTCGGCCGTACAATCGTCCTTCCGTATTGATGCTTTCTAGATCTGTATTCCATAGTTGCCATGAGAGTTTGTCTGTCTTCTTCGGTGCACACGTCCACGTGGTGTTCACATTGCGTGCCGTACTCATCATACTCGTGCGGTTCATTGAGGCCCCACGGAGAACATCCCAGAGACGCTTCCTTAGCAACAGTCAAATTGTCGCCTGTGCATTTGCACATTGGACACGGATTGTACTTTGAGTTGGTATCGGGAAGGCCGTGCGTGTGCGATGCGTCGTTCCAGACGAGCTTCATCCAGATTACACACCCCGTGAACCCCAGAAACGCACCGTGCTGCTTAACTAGACGACCGTGCTGGCTGGTGTCGGCGTAGTGCGCCCCATAGAATTTCACGGCTGGTCTGACACCACACGCCAATATTTTCAGATTCCACGCCAAATACTTGAGCAACGGGTACATGTTGCACCATCCCCTACACCCACATGCACACGAATTGCGCGTACGCCAAACTGCGCACAAGTGCCTTTTCCCCGTTAACACGTTGGTAATCCAAACGCCCAACATCGAATCTGGATTTGACGACGTGCTTCCTGTGTAATGCACACCATCCGTGTAGATCGCCAGCGGGATCGGGAGCGGCTTGCCTTGCGATTTTGTTGCGACCGTCAGCGGGTGCTCCCAGTACACTGGTGGCAGTCCTGATGATTCGTCGACCACGTGCTTGCATCGGTCGTCCCGTACTTCACTAGCAATGTTCTCATTCGCCAACGCCACAAACATTGTTCGGGGTTGGCGGCTGGTTCGGTGCCTATCTGTCCCTGGAATTAATATTTGTTCAATATTTGCTGGTGGCGCCCAAATCTTATCCAGTTCATGCTGATAACTCACTGCTTGCAAACCTGGGGGGCATGCGAACCGCGCGAAATCCGCTCCGAGAACCCCCGCAACATTGGCGCGGTGGCACGCTATGCAGAAGCCGGCAGCAGTCATCTTCCCAAGCGCATACATATTTTTGAAATGTTGGAGCAAATCAGCGCCAGCGTTGCGTCTGGCTTGAAGCTGCTGCTCCCGCTCATGTGTCAGAAACAGCGGCCCCCCATCATCACAGGCCTCGTCGCGCGAGCGTTTTGCCCCCTGTGCTCGGGCCATGGTTCATGCTGCGATGCCGTGCATGCGCGCGTGTGCGTGCAGAGCGCGTGCTGATAAGTCACGCGCGCCTTCTGCGCCATCATAGTGCAATGCGGTTATGTCTTGTTCAGTGCATTCCTATCTAACCCAACACAATGCAATGCAAAGCTGTTATGTGTCTCAATGCCGTTTTAGATTACGTCACTGTTGTTTGTTTAACCCAGAGTGCCGTTTCAAGTGTAACCGAGTTTCAAAACTTACCATCGAAGTCATCTTTTCTAACATGTATATGAGCAGGATCTCATACTTAGTTCCATATATAACATAATCAGATCCATGGCAACATAACGCTTCGGATCTTATTATAAGATCCTGCCAACCTCAGGGCACCTTCTCGAAAACCGGGGGGGGGGGTCATTACCATTTCGAACCCACCTCCCTCCCCCCTCGAAAACCGGGGGGGGGTCATTACCGGTTCGAACCCCTCCCCCCCCACGCTCACCGCCAGAACACAATTTTGGGTCCCTACCACCGTCCGCACCACATCCCCTACTGCTGTCCCCAGCACCAAAGTCCTCACCATTATTGTCCCCACTGTTCCCACCACCGTCACCACTGTCCTCACCAGTGCCCCCACCACTGTCGCACTGTCCCCACTGTCCCCACCACTGTTCCCCACCACGGTTCCACTCTCCACACTTTCTCCACGGCTCCACGGCCCCAACCACTGTCCCCACTGTCCCACTGTCCCACTGTCCCCGCCGCTGTCCCACTGAGCTGTCCCACTGTTCCCACCACTGTCCCCACTGTCCCCACCACTGTCCCTACTGTACCTCTGTCCCATTATCCCACCGCCGTCCTCGCCACCGCTCTCACCACTGTCGCCACCACCACTGTACCCTCCACTGTCCCACTGTTTCCACCACATTCCCACTGTCCCCACACCACTGTCCCCACCACCACTGTCCCCACCACTGTCCCACTATCCCCACTGTTCCCACCATTTTCCCCGCTGTCCCCACCAGTGCCCCCCACCAGTGTCCCACTGTCCCCACTCTCCCCACCATTGTCCCACCACGGTCCCACTCTCCCCATTTTCCCCACGGTCCCCTCCACTGTCCCACTGTCCCCACTGTTCCCACCACTGTCCCACTGTCCCCGCCGCTGTCCCACTGTGCTGTCCCCCCGTCCCCACTGTCCCCATCACTGTCCACTGTCCCCATTGTCCCCACCACTCTCCCCACTGTACTACTGTACCACCACTGTCCTCACCACCACCTTCACCACTGTCCCCACCACTCCCGTCCCCACTGTCCCACTGTCCCCTCACCACTGTCCCCACCACCACCGTCCCCACCACTATCCGCACCACTGTCCCACTTTCCCCGCAACACTGTCCCCACCACCACCGTTCCCACCACTGTCCCAACATCCCCACCATTCTCCAACTGTCCCGAGGAGCGGGCATCGTTTCGTTTGCCGGCGGCGAGGGGGGTGGGGGTGAGGGGGGGGGTCGAACCGGCAGTGACCCCCGCCCCCCGGGTTTCGAGGGGAGGGGGGGGGTTCGAACCTGTAGTGGCCCCCCCCGGTTTTCGAGAAGGTGGGGGGGGTTCGAACTGGTAGTGACCCCCCCCTTTTCATGATGGACTGGGGGGGGGGTTCGAACCGGTAGTGAACCCCCCCAGGTTTTCGAGGGGGGGCGGGGGGGGGACGGGTACCCCCCCCTGGTTTTCCGCCAGCAGCGGCAGAACACGCTCTTTCCTTTATTGGCATACCACTCACATCCGAGCTCCCCATGACTTGTAAAGTTCCTTGAGGCTTCTCAGAAGGCCATGTAGGCCCTGAGCGCCCCCAAGCAGGCCCATGGCGCCCCTGCCCACTATTGCCTGGGCTGGCTTCCAAAAGAGCTCCGAGGCTGCTCCAACGCAGCCCACAACCGCCCCAATATAGCCCCGAACTTAACCCCAGGCTGCTCCAAGACACCACAGACCAGTTCCAAAAGGCGCCAAGGGACGCCAAGATGGCCCCAAGGGGCCCCAATGGGGCCAATATGCACCCAAATGGCTCAGGTGGTATGGTGGCGGTGGGGTGTGCAGCACGTCGGGGTCAACGACCGAACTAGGTCCGGCCACATATGATCACTATCCAGGCGTTGAAGGCCGCAGTGCAGTTGCAAGTGCTGCGCGGCAGCAAGCGGCAACTCGACTTGTCGCGCTGGCGCGCTAGTCGCACCGTTTCTTCCTTCATGTGATTCGTTGTGCCTAAGGTCGTGGACGATTGCTCTGCGCATGGGCACGGTGCGCATTTTTCCACGCATGTAACTGCACGTCAGTTGCAGCCTGGCCCGCAGCACTCCTGGCTTTAGCTGTGGCCCTGTGTTGTATTACAGATTTGCTCGGCGATGATCCAATGCGCGCAATGGTTCTTGCCGCACTGCGGGGTCATTCCGTTAAAGCTGTAATATTGACCCAGACGTGGCCCCACGCTGGGTTGTGAACGGTAGGGGACGCCGTAATACCTTACAGTACGTAGTCTCCTTTGGCCGTCTAAGTTTTGCGGTTGCATGGCAGCACGTCTTCTTGCTGGTCTGCTCTGGAAGCTCACCATTCTTGTCCTCGTCCTCCACCCCTCTTCTCCATCTGTCTCCCTCTCCTTGCTGCTCCGTGGGTGCAGAGCCCGAGCCAGCAGAGCCACTGATTGCCAGCGGAGCGTGGCCGAGCCCCGCGCAGTAGACGTAGGGGGAGGCATTGAGTTGAGTGACTGGGTAGTCGAAGGCCAGACTGTCAGATTGGATTGGGCCCCAAGGGCCAATCTGGCCCGGCCAAACTGGATGATTTGGGTGATTCGCCAGACTGGATTCGCGTTGGCTCCCTCGCCAGATTGCCCCCGTTTGCCAGATTGGGCCTGCCATATTGGCGCCAGATTGGCTTCGACTACCCAGATTGAGTTGAGTGAGGCAGTTGTCGACACGAGTGCGCAGCTCCGTCTCAAGCGGCTTGCCCTTTTCTAGTAACCGATGCTCGCACCGGTGACGGCGGAGCCCGGCCGAAACACAAAACGGGGCCGTGGAAGCAGGGCGCTGAAATAATGCCGAAGAGGCCCAACGTGCCCGCGATACCCCCGATAGATGGTTCCAATACGACCGACGGTGGTTCACGAAGGCCCTATCCAAGAAGCGAGACGTATGTTAACCCATCAGTGATTATGCGTTTGGATGCGTTTGGGGCCTAGCACACTTCTGGTATCCACATGACTCCTAGAAGAAGGCCCCTGAGGCTTCCCAGAGGGTTTACTCCAGAACGCCCCCACAATTGCCCAGGACGCCCCCCCCACATACATAATCTATTTATACACGTACATACACGCGTATACAGATTTACATGTGTGCACCTACCTACCGACCTTGAGGAGGTCCTGGAAGCTCAAGTCCAGAACTTCGATCCTTTCCCTTGCCTGCCTGTTCCCTTGGTGTCGAACAGAACTCGACTCCAGAGAGCCTCGTCTCCACTCTCCTCTGACACACTCCCGCCCCAGCGAGCTTCTCCACCGCAGCTCCCCCCTCCCCGGACCACTCCCAGGATGTATTCTGACCCGAATTTCAACGAGAGTCCAGCGATGGCGACGAGGGCCTCCCAGGTTCAATAGAGTCACAAAAAAGAGAAAACGATGCTGCGATACTTTTTCCTTCTCCGAACGTTGTCGCCGACCTTCATCGTCGTCGTCGGTCGTCGTCGTCGTCGCCTCACCTGTTCCTGTCCTCTGGTCGTTCCTCCTCGTCTTCCTCCCTCCTGCTCCCTGCGCGTCGTCGTCGTCCTCCTCCGGCAGAGATGCCGAAATAGAGAAATGCAGAAGGGCAAAGAAGCAAACAGTCTGAAATAATGCCCACACAATCTGAGCGCGAATCCCAGAGGGCCGTGACCCCTGGCGGATGGATCCCCTCGTGGTGCCCTATTGCCACGCTTGGTATATCGCGACAACCACTTGAGCAATGAGAGCGAGATCAATTATTGAGCAGCGCAATTGTTCTAACGGTTCTCACGCGCACCTACATGAATTCATCCGGTTTGAATCTGCCCAGTTTAAATTCATTTGGTATGAATTTGCCTGGTTTGAATTAATCCGGATGTATTTCGCCCGGCTTAAACTCATCCAGTTTTAATTCGTCCGTTACCACTCATATGGTTTTCTTCGTTCGGTTTGAATCCATCCAGTTTTTAATCGCCCGTGTGAATTCATCCGGTTTAAACTCATCCAGTATAAATTCGCGCAGTTTACATTAGTTTTGTTTTTATTCGCCTGGTTTGAATTCATTTGGTCTTCATCCCCCCAGCTTCCACACGAATCACGCAAAGCAAGAGTGGACGCAATCGAAGCGGACGAACTGAAAGCGGGTGGGACAAAAGCGGACGAAATAAAAGCGGATGAAAGATGCGGATTCAACAAAAGACGGACGAAACAAAAGTGGATGAAACAGAAGCGGACGAAACATATGTGTTTGAAACAAAAGCGGACGAAACAGAAGCGGACGCAACTCAAGCGGATGAAATAAAATTCCACCCATTTGAGAGGGAATCTAAGATGCCTCCAAGAGGCCCCCAAGATGCTTGCCCGCGAGATGCCCCAAGAGGCCCACAAGTGGCCCCGGAGAGGCCTCAAAGAGGGTCCAGGAGGCCCCCAGGAAACCCCCCAGGAGTCCTGCAAGAGGCCCCAGGAGGGCCTGTGAGAGAGTTCCCATGGAACCTGAACACTCGTCCACGAGAGGTCTATGGTCCACAACCTAGGCCCGTTTTTGGGGCGCCGCCTGATCGGCACAGGTGTTGTTTTTTTGCGTGCGTATGTATGTATATGTGACAATGTACGCAATTATGTATGTACGCGTGCGCGATTGCATGTCTGTGTTCATTCATGTGCGCATGAAGGATGGCGAGCATCATTTGGCCTGGCGAGGGGCCCACCCCTCTGCTGCTGCGTGAAGCGCAGGGCGCGGCGCTCGGAGCCGGCGCGCGCAGGCGCACGGTGAGCTCCTTATCAGGGCCCATGGGGCGCGAACCGTGCGAAGAGGGGGTGGCCGCCGCGCGAGCGCGCCCACTGATCGGAGGTTGACAGACCTACCCTTACACGTCGCTTAGCGAACTGGCCGTTTTCGGTTCGCGAGAGGGCGTCGCGGCCGTCATTCTCGCGGGTCCAGGTCCGTCGGTTTCGGTCCTGGGCCGGTTTTCAGTCAAGGGAGGTTTATTAAAGGGAAGTTTGTCCACCGCCGAACCGAGGCCGTAGGTGGAGCTCCATATGGAGCGCGATCTGCGTGCAGCGGCGCCGAGACGGACGTGGGAACGCTATGCGACGTTGCCCATGGGTGCCACAGGTGGGGGTCACTGCGTGGTGCGATCCGCGTCAGGGGTGCGCCGAAAGATAGGAAGGGGCGCCATGCGACCCCTCCTGTTGGAGCCGTCGGTTGAGCTCCCCATGGGGCGCGATCTGTGTGAGGAGTGTGCCGACATGGGCGTGGAGACCCCATGCGAGCCTTCGCTGGGGCCATAGGTGGAGCTCCCTTTGGGCAGCGATCCATGCCTGGGGTGTCCCCTTATGGGCGGGGCGGGTGCGAACCTCGTCTCTGGGGCTGTCGGTTGAGCCCCCTGTGGGACACGATCTGTTTGAGGAGTGAGTCAACATATGCTGCCGTACGTGGAGCTCTCAGTGGGGCTCGTTCCGTGTGAAGGTTGTGGCGTAATGGTCGGAGTGGCGCCATGCGGACCCCCAAGAGGCCTCAAGAGGCTCCCTAAATGAAAGCCTTCCTGGAGGCCTCCCAAAAGGCCCCGAGAAGCGTTTGGGCGGTCTCACGTTCACGTCCTGCACGGCGTGCCCAGAGGCTCCCAGAGGCCCCCCATTTTACGATTCATTTCAGGGCTTCAAGCGGCATCTCAGAAGCACGCCGCGAGGTACCCAACAGGCACCCGAGACGCACCGAGCTCACGATCCATGTCATGGGTGTGCCGCCATGGGCAGGCCGTCTTCCTGGCGAATGCGTGTAATACCCGCCCCTGGGTGGTCCACCCCTTCTGTCTCCGCCAATATTGACGAAGTCCCATGGCCGCGAAGCGGCTAGCAGAGGCCGGAAAGTGTCAGAAGCGTGAGCCGTTTTTGTGCCACCACCCGTAGACATCAGAATCTGTTTTATTTGTTCAGCCCGCGGGGCCCAGAGGTCTAATTCCTCCCCAAATTGGGGGGGGGGTCACGTCCCGCATTCATGTTTGAAAGCATCAGGCCCCCAAACCGCCTTTGTCAAGCGATCGCAAACATGGAACAAGGGGGCGTGGATTAGCGACGGATCTAGCTTTCATGGGAAATCGCGGATTTCAGCTGCAGAAGGAGGCGGCACCGGCCGCATTTTGGAGAGGGCACCTCCCCCGGTCCATGGATTTGGCGACCGCGCGCCAAGTCCATGGATCGCTAATCCATGTTCCCGCGCCCCCGAAAAGCCGCCCTTGGATGCCGAAATCGATGAAACAAATTCTTGTGAGCGTCAGTGGGAATTTGATCTGGGATCTTCCGTCATGGCTTGCTGCCTCGGCCCTACGCCGGGAGTGTGTTGTGGACGCGTTATGTGTACGTTGTTTGGTGCGCTCGGAGGTCGACAGACCTCCTACCCTGACACGTCGATTAGCGAATTGGCCGTTTTCGGTTCGCGAGAGGGCGTCGCGGCCGTCATTCTTGCGGGTCCAGGTCCGTCGGTTTCGGTCCTGGGCCGGTTTTCAGTCAAGGGAGGTTTTCTAAAGGGAGGTTTGTAACGCATGCGCATTTTACATATATATATATATATATATATATATATATATATATATATAGATGCATGCGCATGATATATATATATATATACACACAAGTGTGCACACGTACATACAACCCTCCTGCAGCCGCCCCCATCCAAAGTCGGCCCTTGGCGGGGCCACTACCGCTCTGGGGCTTCGACACAGCAGTGGACGGGAACGGGCGGCCGCGCCGTCTTGAGAGGATGACCCCGTGACGACGCAGTCCCATGCAGATTCCGAAGTGTTCCCTGAAACCCATGGCCACCTTGGTCAAGTTTCTCTTCAGGAGCGTGGCACTCCCAGGAAGTGTCTGAGAGCTGGAAGGGCACCGATACTCTTACTCCCCAAGCGGGCCTGCTGGTGGCCCGTGGGTCACCACCACCCACCAAACCACCCTAACCCAACCCGAAGGCCTCAATTTGCCCTCCATTTCCAGTGGGGGGGGGTCGGGGAACATTGCAAAAACACATGGAACCCGTATCCCCCCCTCCAAAAGAAAACCCGAAATTCTGGTCAAATTCGGGTTTTCGGGTTGGGTTTGGGGTGGTCTGGTAGGCAGTCGGTGGGGGCCCAAAGATGTCTTTCACAGCTGACGACGCTCCCCAAACTTGCCCAAGGCCGTCCACCATTGCGCTTGTGGCGGCCTGGCGCCACCCGAAATGCCCCCAGATGGTCTGACGACGCGCCAATGTTAAGTCGGGTTTTTCCTTCTGCAGGGAAATATTCAAACATAACAAAAATGGTCTGGAGACGGTGCTTTGAGTATGTTTGAATATTTGTGGAATGTGTTTTGACTATGCTTAGTTTTTCGTCCAAACTTCGCATGTAGGGGGGCATGTCCGAACTAACGCCAAGAGGCCCCCAAGAGGCCTCCAATGAGCCCTTGCAGGGGCCCCATTCCATGCGGGTATACAGATGTTCCGTCATCCAAATCTGGATGACGGCCCAAGGGAGCCACAAGAGGGCTTCAAAAGGGTACCAAAACGGGTCGTGATGCACTATTTGGGGCATGCGGTTCCCAACATGCTCCCAACACCCTCGGGAAGCTTGAAGGCCGCGTCCGAGAGGCCCCCAGAGGCTCCCGAGAGACTCTTAACACGCCTCTCGCATTCTCCTAGAGACCCCCACGAGGCCCTAAGAGGCCCCCTGAATGCTCCCAGGAGGCTCAGAGGAGGCAGACCCATGAGGGAAAGGTAACGAATGGCAGTATGATGACGACGATGTCGAA